ACAGTAACAAATGACTATCCCAATGGTGGACAGCAGATCACCCTCCATGACCCAAACGATGGCTGTGAGTACACTCTGCCCATGCACCCATGGCACAAGGGCTGCCCATACTGCAAGTGTGGCAAGCACTGCCATAGTCACCAGAGTATTGTTGAATGGGGTTTTTGAGTATCAATGATCCACCAAACAGTCAGGGAGAGCCTACTAAGATGTCCTGTTTCCTATTCAGCCACTGTTATCCATTCCTCAGTCCCACAGTCTCGTCTCTAGCCTTCATTTCAACAAACTTCCCTTTGCCCACAGCACTTGTGCTGTGGAACATACCTGCAGGAATACCCTCGCCTGCTTTAACTTTCCTCTCCTCCACTCAGACCATACTAAACCCCTCTGCTATAGCCACTTTCAGCAGCATTTACCAGTTAGTTCCCACAGTTTGCTCTCTCATTTACAAGCCAGTTGCCAAGAAGGTTTGGACAGTACCTGCCCTGATGGCAGAAGAATACCACATCATGTGCAGCCTGCCTGACAATCTGCTTACTGGTCTCCAACCACTTCCTACACATCCACCAGACTTCACTCCAGGCATCCACTTCACTGCCAAATGCGCCATGGAGCTTGACCTCAATCCTGCAGATTGGCTTTGGCCAGAAGAACTCAAACTCATGACTTGGCTCATTTTGGTCCATGAGCCTGCATTCACTTGGGACATTACAGAGTGCAGACACCTAGACAAATGCTATTTCCCACCTGTAAAGATCCCCACAATCCCACACATGCCTTGGGTCCAACACAATATCCCTATCCCAAGCACAATACATGCCCAAGTCATTGACATGATTAAAGATTGCATCAAGTCCAGCATGTATGAACCTTCTACTGCAGCTTACCACTCCTGCTGGTTCTGCATAGTAAAGAAGGACAGAAAGTCTCTTTGCCTTGTGCATGACTTACAGCCCCTAAATGCAGTGACCATCTGCAATGTGTCCATCCCACCCTTCATAGAACATCTTGCAGAATACTTCACTGGATATGTGGTGCATGTGATGATGGACCTCTACTCTGGGTATGACCAGTGCACACTTCATGTTGACTCCTGCAACCTCACCACCTTTGGCACCCCACTTGGACCACATCAGCTTACTACTCTGCCACAAGGTCATGCAAATACAGTCCAGGTATACCAGGGAGATACTGCATTTGTGCTTCAGGATGAGATCCTGCATCATACCTTACCCTTCATAGATGACATGCCTGTAAAATCTGAAACCACCCACTATCAGCATGCAGACAGGTCCTATGAGACTATCCCAGAGAACCCGGGGATTCAGAAATTTATCTGGAATCACTGTATAGTCATTAACCACTGTAGGAAATGGAAAACAAGATGAGAAGACTGGGTAGTTGGATTATCTGAGGGGAGTGAGTAGGCCAAAAGGGGCTTCTTTAGCCTGAGCAAGGATCCTGGTAGTCATCTGAAGGCTTCTATGGCTGTCTTGGTGCAGGGAATGACCTGCTTGAGCTTGTCTCTTGTCTGTGGTAACTCATCTATTATTTTGTAAGGAAAAAACTGTACACAAGTAGCACTACTGCTGACTAAGCAACCAAAAATGCGAAATCTAAGTACCACTCATAGAAAAAAAGTATCTAGAATGAAAACTAAGTAAAACAAGCAAAATAAAACAATTCCCCTGGTAGGGAAATTACATTCCCTACACCACATCCTTCAGTGTTTGCAGAATGTCAGAGACACCATCTTGGCAAAGAAGTTTGTGCTAGCCACTCCATCTGCTGTGATCATTGGCCACAAGTGCACCTTTGAAGGTTGCATTCCTGAAGAAAGCAAAGTGCAGAAGATCCATGACTGGCCCAAGTGCCACAACCTGACTCAGGTTCACAGTTTCCTTGGTGTCTGCAGTGTGCTACACATCTTCATCAAAGACTTTGCCAAGATTGCGTGGCTGCTAGTTGCACTCATGAGGAAAGATGTACCATTCACATGGGATGAACCACAACATGCTGCCATGCAATGACTTGAGGATGAAATTGTAGAGTCCCCCATGCTCCAAAAGATTGACTATGAGTGTGGTCACAAAGTGATTTTAGCAGTTGACACTTCAGCCATCACAGTTGGCCACATCCTCTACCAGCTCAGCAAAGATGGCAAGTGGTACCCTAGTCACTTCAGATCCATCACCCTCAATGAAGTGGAAAGCCACTACTCCCAGGCTAAGCTTGAGTTGTACAGTCTCTTCTGTGCAGTACATGTATACATCTTCGGTCTCACTAACTTCACTGTGGAGGTAGATGCAAAGTATATTAAGGGCATGATAAATAACCCAGATCTGCAGCCTAATGCAATGATCAATCAGTGGATTGCTGGTGTCCTCCTCTTCTCATCAAACTTGTTCACATTGTGAGTCAAAGTGTGGTTCAGTGGTGAAAACCAACCAAGACCAACACAAAAGACAATAAGAGCAAGTGGTGGTGTGCCTATGCAGTACCTAGATGGTAGGACCTGTTCTTTGGGAGGGTTTTTGCGAGCTACAACACTCAAAGATGAGTGCTGAGGGTTGGGGGTGCTCCTGATGAAGAGGGAGCAAGAATATGAGAGAATGTGATAGGGTAGACTGCTGTCAGCCTACAGAAGGATGGAGGATGACTTAATTCAATGTCCTGAGCTGCACTGAGCTCAGGGAGGGCTTGAAGTGAAGTCTGTATAGCCACAGTACAGGTGCAAATTATCAATATTTGTGACAGGGTAACCTGCCATGGGAACATTCCAATCTGATTTTTTTTCAAACACCAACAGAGGTTGTCACTCAGGGGCCATTGTCTATATTGGGAAGTGGTAGTTGCTATGAATTCTGTAACTGCTTTTCCAGTAATTACCATGGTCATTTGGTCAAAATCAGCTGATACAGCTGCAACAGAAAAGAACAGAACTCTGACTGGCAGAGTGTTGGCAGGAATGCAGTCTGCCCAGACAAAGGCAGAGTGGAGTGAGGGCATTGGGTTTAGCTTGTGTGCTACCCCCTTGCATGATCTCAGCCCTTGTATTTCAGAGGGGGAGTACAGACAGAAAGTTGGAGGTAACTCTGACAGGCAGAAGACAGAGACAGAGGGAGTAGGAACTAAGTCAATATTTGTACTGAAGAACAGTGGAGTATGATACATGCTTTTATACTACTACAGAGGTACAGTAATCAGAATCAGAACTGACATATGGACACTTGTAAAATTTCAAGTAAAACCTCCTAGACAATGAATGAAGGGTAGACAGAGGACATATGAATGGGTAACATAGAACATCCAAAAAAGGAAATAGTCCAGGCACTGGGCCATGCAGTGCATGTGCTGTGGAGTACCTGATCATGTGCTGTCAGGGAGAAGTCCAAAGGATAGTCACATGACCCCTCAGGGAAATGGTCCACATGGTCCAGTAGGAGAGTAGTACAAGTCTGACAGCAGTTGGAGTGGAGATGGCTCATAAACAGCAGAAGGTGGGCAGAGTTGGTGTGGAGCAAGTAAATGACCAGTGGAAAAGGGTGAAGAGTGATTGAGGACTTAGAATGAATGCACAGTCATGATAATTGCCTCTGGTACAAGATGAATGACTTGGTGTACACAAGGATGCACAAAATGGATATGGCACTTGGCAAGCTGGTAATAGATGGACTTGAACTCACATTCCCAGCTGCAGAGGAGTGCATGCATGTCAAGGAGTTGTTCTTCTGTCAATGTGTGTTGGCACATGATCTGAAGTCTGTGAACTAACTTGCAGTAATTCACCCAGTACAATCTGGGCAGGAGGTCATAGAGGAGAATTGGTGTGAGGGCAAATATGTACAGCTGGAACTCCCAGGTCTTGTATTGCATATTAATTTTTTTGGCAATGTTACAAGGCTTGCAATCATAAGAATTGGGGAGATGATGACCTGCTTGCTCAATGGCTGCTCCATGCTCATGCCAAACTTCTTCATTGGCTAAAACAGCCCATGGCCACATCTCTGGATCATCACCTGCTACATGATCGATGGTGCCATGCCAGAGGGAAATGAGAAGGTCACTGATGTTTCCAGCAAGATGCATGATATTGGTTTTCATACACAGAGGAATGCCAAGAGAATGAGTTGGCTGGAGGGCAAGAATGAGAGGTGGTTTGGTGAGGCCAGTGTCAGTTTTCTTCCTGTCACATTGTGTGGCATTCTGCATGGCAATGATAGTTCTGAGATTGTCAGCATACTTGGCACATCCACCTAGTGGGAGATTGAACATGTCAATGTTGGCATGATTGCTGCCACGGACAGAGCAGTTGTGAGGTTGGAATAGCACTGGGTAGTAGTGTTTGTCATTTGTTTTGCATCTGCTGATGGCACCACAACACATGTGACAACTGTTCTTGCCACTATGACCAACCATGCCATTCCAATAAATCAAACCAGGCCCATCTGCAGTCATAAAAAGCAGATAGACATCAGAGGAATAGCAAGTGTTGGTATGGGCATTCCAGATGGGGAGTCCTTCGGCCTGAAGGGCTGCAAGATGATGGATGCCAGGAAAGAGGATGACTCGAGATTCTTGGGCTTGTTGGGGCCAGGAATAAACCCCCCAGGGCAGATGTGGAGTTTGTGATATCATTTGTCCAGTGGCAGATTTACAATGATCCATATGTACATCCAACAATCTGACTCCTTGCTGTCGTACAACTGGGCTCTGTCAAGTGAGAGCATGAGAACAGTGTCATTGTGTTTGATGTCACCATCGAGGACAGCCCCAAGGTAGTCTCAACCCATAGCAATGTTGTCAATTAGTGGGATGTGACCAGTCTCATGTAGTTGGTGAAGGACCTCTGCTGTGTGCTGAGTGAGATATCCCATATTGATGGCACTATTGTTGTGCTGATAGAGGGCTTGCAGTTGGGGGCCAATTGGGATCATTGTGAACATCTGCACTGCAACCTTGGATCTCCCATGAGTTCCTTGAAGCTGTTCCTCCTTCCATCAAGAAGTGTGACACATTGGGCAGGCCTTGAGATGAGAAAAAGGCCTGGTATAGGTGATGCAGAAGTTGCGACACATGTTGTGCTCAATGGAGATGACCCTGGTGTAGGTAGCAATAACTTCTTTGATGTTATAGAAGCTGAGAATGGAGTCTGCAGCTGGGGTGCCCTCGAAGGCAATGCAGGCTGCTTTGCAGACATGGTTGTACACCTGTTGGGATGCATTCTTGATGGTAATGACCTCATCAGGGGGGTTCTGCAACCTCTCAAGAGCATCAGTACTAAGTTTTGCAACCTGGTCATTGAGTGAAGCATTTTTGAGTGCCAATATAAACTCCATGGACTAGTGCATAGGTGAGGGTATGGCAGATTGTGCAAGAGCCTCAATGTCAATGATGGGGCATGTCCTCCACTCATGCCATATGTTGGTGTGTGCCACCATTCTATTTAACCTGGAAGCTGGTAGATCCTACACTAGAGGGTTAGAACACATTGAATCAGTCATCCACAGCCACTTACTTTGTCTACAGATGGATCAGTGGATGCCATGGGTCCACTTAACTTGGGAGCTGGTAGATCCGGTGCTGGAGGTTAGAACACATTGAATCGATCATCTATGGCCACTTACCTCATCTACAGATGGTCCAGTGGGCATTGCAGGTTCACCTAGATCAGGAGCTGGTAGATGCTACATTAGAGGGTTAGAATGCATTGAATCAGTTGTCCACAGCCACTTACCTCATCTACAGATGGATCAGTGGATGCCATGGGTCCACCTAACTCGGAAGCTGGTAAATCCTGTGCTGGAGGTTAGAATGCATTGAATCGGTCATCTACAGCCACTTACCTCATCTACAGATGGTCCAGTGGGTGTTGCAGGTTCACCTAGATCAGGAACCAGTAGATCCTGCATTAGAGGGTTAGAATGTGTTAAATTGGTTGTCCACAGCCACTTACCTCATCTACAGAGGGATCAGTGGACACTGTGGGTCCACCTAACTTGGGAGCTGGTGATTCCTATGATTGGTCTCCAAATCATTATTCTACAGAATGGAAAATAAATGAACTCACATTTTTATGAGTGTGCACATGTTTGTGGTGTCCATCCTCTATGGTTTTGAGTTGCCTTTTTGCCATTGCTTGGATAACAGCTGCATGACAAGCGAGTTTTTCCAAGCCACAGCCTGCATGGGGTCTGACCTGGGAGGATTGAAGGCATCCCTTTTCTTCTTTGGTCCCAGCCTCCACAAAATGGCAGTACCATGTTGCCTTTGACACTGGGTGAGGCTGCCCAAAATTATACTTGCTGCAGATGCATATGTAGGGAGTTGACACAGATGCCACAGGCATCAAGGCAGCTGGAGCAGTGCACAGCACAGTGTACTGTGTTGCTATGTAGTGTAAAAGATACATCCAACCTACCAATTGCAACACAACATAGCCAAAAAAGGAAGGAGAAACTTTGATTATTGACCATGTCATATTTGTCACATTACTTTCACATATGGTCACCTCATGTCACACCTGGCCATAGCCAGTTTTCACTGGGATTGATACTTGGATATGTGGTCAGGCATCATGGTACACATCATAACTGTCCTGGTTGCTGAGACTAAGTCCATGAAGTTGGTGAACATCTTGTACTTGACAGAATGTGGATCTTTCATCCCCCAGAGGCAATTGAGGGTGAATGGAAGGTTAATTGTAAACAGAGTTTGATATTGATCAGCAGACAGTTTTCCATTCCAAGCACTTCCAACTCCTCATGACACAGGGGTGACCCAGGAAGGGAGAGATAAGCCATCCATATCCTCCCAAATGGAGGCCAGGGTGGTGTGGCCAAGTACTCTCATCTTCTTAGCTTTCCTTTGTTGCTGGTGCTTGCTTGCCTTCAATGCATGTGTCTCCACCAAATGACCATCCTTGTCCACAATGCCTGTCTTTTTTTCACTGAGACTGTCCAATGATGAAATACTGTGAGTACTCAGTTCATGAGGATGAGGCGCCACAGACATACCCAATTGTCCAACATCCTGGCCAATTTGAACTTAGAAAGTCCATCATAAGATGGATGATCACTTGTTTTGCAGGCACTCTCACTCTTGCCAAGCTTGGCAACACAAAGCATGACCAGAGAAGCCTTACAAAGTCAACATAGCACTTTCATGCCTGTCATGGTCTCCAACACTGCTAGTGCTTCCTCAGGTCCATTATCATGTGGGATCTCCATTTGAGGTTGAATGCAATCCATAGAGCCTAGTGAATGGTTGGGCTGTCCTCAGAAAGTGTCTGATTTGTGGTTACCCAATTCAGTTGGATTTGCAGCATCTATTTGCTTGCACTGTATGTCACAATGATGTAACAAGTCAATGAGTTTGTGGACAAGATATTTGAATGGGAGGAGCATACAAGGCCATTTACCAGCTCCTCTTTTACTCATGCAGTGTAGTAAGCGACTCACTCTTCCACACTGGGTGGCTTCCCAGATACAGATGGAATGGGAAGTTTCAGGGAACACAGGAACACCAGCATGGCTTTCTTGAGGTGCATTAAAGTCAAGCAACTGGGAGTTTTGTGCAGCAGATTCAAAGCCTTTTCTCTCTTGCCTTCCAGTAGATTAGGAGCACAGCATATTAAATGATCATTGTCATTGGTCAGGCCCCCTGGCATGTGCATGGGGGTTGCATAGTGAATGGAGGGAATGTCATTAGGTGCTAGTGGAACATTTGGTTTTTCTATGACATCAGGCAACTGAAACTGATCTGGAAAAAGGGAAGTTCCATCAACAGACAATAAAGCATTTGGTTCATTGGTGGTTGCAGTGGGTGTGCCAGAGTCGGAAGCCACATGGGTCATATCCACTTCTTTGTCCCAGTCCATCTGATTTCTCTGCGAAAAAAATGGTATTCAAGAAGATTCAAGAAAGGGCACACAAATTGGACTCACAAAACTGATTAGTTGTTTAATGAGCCTACCTTTCTTGCCACTGAAACAGATTTGTAGCTCCCAACACATGGAGTGAAGCACAGGTTTGCTCAATTTTTGCAGGTCCTTGACCATTCTGGATCAGAGAATGTGAAGACCACTTTGGATTTGGTCATATGATGGAGGCTGGTTCATTTTGAGTTTGTTGTACATTTCCCCAAGACCATTGTCAAGCTGGCCATCCATTCCCCACACTTCACAACAATGCTTCTGAATGAGGACAAGTAGGAAAGTGTGCATTGAGTTGAGGACAATAAACTTTCAAGGATCCCAGTATGGCAGTTGGAGGAGTTCTGACCGTTGTATGCCATACTCCTTGTAAAGCATGCAACATGCAGTTTCAGAAGGTGCATCCCTCCATTGTCATGCAATAGATAAGTGTTCCTCTTGGGTCATGCATGGTCACATCGACTCATCGAAATTCTCTATGTCTTGCAGCCTCATGCGGCAGTAGGAGCAGCAATTAGTGGATGTGTAGGAGGCATATCCAGCCATCTGATGAGCAGCAGGGAGATCACAAACCAGTGGCACGAGTGCACATCGAACTGCGCAGCCTGTGGGATGAAAGGTTGTTCTGGAGAATCAGATCCCATGGTGCCAGGCAGTAAGAAGATCATCTACCAGCAGTCAAAGAAGGTGGTTGATTTGGTGGAGGGAAGGTTCATTTGGTCCCAGAATGATCCTGGCAAGGAACATATTCTCAGCTTTGTACGGCCTTCACTACAGTCAGGTGAGATAAATCACTGTCCATCTGGGCCCAGGAAATTTTGCAGAGCAGGTGTGTCCCATATATCCCAATAGATGCCAGACATCTCCTGTCCACCTGATAATATTGGGTTCTTCTCCAAGCACTTTTCCATCTCCAATTGTGAATGAAGGTGGCCAAGCCACTCTTTGAAGTTATGATAAATGTAGAGCCATTTTGGAGGGTACCCATGGGGGTCATCTACCTGCCCCTGTCTGGTCAGTTGCTTTTGCAGTAGCCACTGACATACTACACTAGATGGGGTGTCCTGATTGGTGCAATGTTCAGGGAAAGACTCTAGCAGGTAGCAGGTGAAGCACTTGGGACAACAAACAAACTCCTCTGTGATGGGAGAGAGAGAGAGCATCTACAACTGATCTTATATCTTTGGGGACACTATCCACAATATTGGAAGCCTGTTCAGAGGATGGCTGTCCAGAGGGCACTGACTGCATTGGAAGTGATAGTTTGAGCAACAATTGCAGGCCAGACAGTATGAATGTGCAGTGATCCATTGAAACACCACACAAGAGGTGGAGAACTGCAGCAATTATATGCACAAGGAGAGAGATGGGGTCAAAAAATTGGAGTAGTGTGAAGTAATGTTCTGGATATGGCAAGATGAATAGCTTATCGCATTTTAGAGCTGAAAACCAACCTGTCTGGATGTCTGCAGAGGCATTGTGGGCACCATGATGGGTATACTGTTGCATCCATTCTTTGTGATTTGACTCATGAAGGGAATGTATCTCATTTTTGGCTGCACTCTCTAGGACCCTGGCTTTCAAGAATACATACATGTTAGGATGCAAAGACACATTTTGTGCTGCAGTTAATGTACTGCACAACAATTCCTCATATTCGAGGACATCAGGGTCTCCTTTCATATCATGGGTCAGGGACAAAGGACCATCAATGGCATCATCCACACTCTCCAGGACAGAAAATGAAGGGGATGATGGGGCACAGAAAACAGAAGGATACAGAGTACACTTCTGCACAAAGCATCATTTTTATGCTGCCATTTGATCAGACAGGTATTGCAAATACTGGAGAACATCTCCATTGGGTGGTTCATGGGGCTGTTCCTCGGTCACAGCAGAAGCTTCATCTTGCAGAACCAAAGGCATACACAGTGGCCCAGCTGGAGATGGCATATCAGGATGATCACAATGTGTGCCAAAACATGAAGAGCCTTCAGAGAATACTGTGTTAGGGGCTGTGGAAGGAAAAAACTGCAGAACCAGTCACACCAGATGTAGCTCTTGCATTCTGCACAGCACAATGTGCTGCATATTCCTTTCTCCCAAGGTGGCATCCTCTCACTGAGTGCCTAGTGACAGGATGAACAGTGGTGTGATCATAGCACTGCTAGCACAGGCAATGAAAAACTACACATGGATGCATTACCAATCAACCTGTGTCAGAAATGCTCAAACTTAGGCCACTCTGTAGAGAGAATATTGTGACAAGCACAGTATTTGGCAGCAGATCCAGATCCAGAAATGCTTATGTAACTTGCAGGTAGTGTTCTTCTATGATGTTGAGCTCTGGTTGTGGGAAAGTCTGTCGGAAAAAGCAATGTCAGGTTCCCACACCTTGTGAGTTATTTGAACAAAGTGGCTGGCATTATGACTCAATTCCAAGACTACACAGCAGTTCAGTGGGACTAGTAATTACATTTACAATGGACTAATGTCAGTCGTCAGTGATCATCACCATTTCAGCAGCTGTTGTTGCTGTCATTGTCCTCAGCTGTTGTTGTGGTCAGTGTTGTCCCAGCCATCATGCTAGGACCAGGTTTAGTATGAGTGATACCAGCACTGGGGTTAGTTTGGGTGATGACACCTGCACTGGTGCTGGAGTTGGTGACCATAGCTGTGGTGGAAGGTGAGACACTGGGATCTGTACTACATGCCTGTATTTGTACCAGAGGTTGAAGTGGCACTGGGACCAGGTGTAGGAGTGGCGCCTGTTTTGGAGATAAAAGGGGAAGGACCTTGGATGTAGCTGTGCATGTATGCACCTGGGGGGTTTTGCATGATGACATCATTGGACCCAGTGCATTTTGTAGTGGCATTGGCATCCAATGCAGAAGGTGTGGAGGGCATCTCTTCATTGCACAAGTCAAGGAGTTCATCAAGGAGGAGTTTGACAGTTGCCTGAAGATACTCAAGGCATGGTGAGATGTGGAAGAAGAGCATGTGACATCTTTGCTGTACTTCATGGGTGTGGTCACATTAGTGATAGGGGAGCTGGAAGACTGAAATCATTGGAGAACAAAAAGGGGAATTTGAGAGTGGGTCATTGCATAGCAAAGGAAAGTGTTTTCACTTATGGGACACTAGAGAGGAATCTTGGTCATTGTTGGAGTCATTGCCTGCAATGGAGTTGTGATTGGATGAATGAGTGGCCTGATGACCATGTCTAGCAGCAGAGGCATGTGAATCCTTGAATTCAGGATAGGGTTTGATATTGGGTCTGCTAAGGATGTTGTTGGGAGCTGCAGGTGATGGCTGATTGACTGGGGAGGTGAACTGCATGCATTTGATGGTGCTGGGCTTGGCATGAAGACTGGCTTCGTGACTGTGCCAACATCCAGCTATGTGTTGGCAGGTGAGATTGGTGGGAGCACTGCACCAGAGTTCTCCATCTTTGAGATCTTCACTGTGTAATTTGTTGGAAACCTTTGCCATATATGCATGGTGGTACAGCATGTTGGCAACTAAGAAATGAATGCCAAACGCAGGCTCCCTCTGAGAGTAGGGGACCTTGCACTGGTCAATGCTGCTTGGCACATGGACTTTTGGCCAGTTTGTGGCCAAGCCATGCAGAGAATGGGGTCACCCTGTGACAACGAAGCCCTGCATGCCACTGTACAATGAAACCAAAAACTGAGAGCTAGATGGGAGATGTTTCAGTTTTTACCCCACTATGCCCTCCTTCCTCACAAGAACACAATGAGGAAGAGGATGACATCATGTATATCAATGAGCAGAATCATGTGTTCAACAAGAAGGTTAGTACATTATCTTCCATCTTTCTTTTGTGATGCATTCTGATGCATTGCTCCACATTTCAGATTGTGGGATATTACAACAAATACACTGCAGAGATTTGAGCCAGTTTTGAGCATGGATCCAAAGTTGTGCATACAATCAGTCAACAGCCAAGACATTCATCCAAAGTGTCCATGACATTACTAAGATTTTGTTGGTCTGTGACTTATTTTGTGATTGCCTTCCATCGAGTCTTTAGTCAGCTTAGGGACTCTGGAGACTAATGTGCACCCCTCTGTCCTTGTTATTGGTCAGAACACCTGTGAATGGGAGGAAGGACCTCTCAAGCCCAAGCTGAGACCCTAGTAGCAAAAGGAATGTTGCATTCCAAGAATTATAACTATAGTCAAAAATCACAGCCTGGTTACTACTCATCATCTGATTCATCACTGTCCACACCATCATAATCCACCAACCAGGAGTGGCCCCATGCACAATGCACTGCTGGATCAGCTAACCAAGCCAGCACATTCAGACAGATTGAGTATGTGGGTTGGAGTGGCTGGACTGTCCATTGTGGCATATGTGACTGGTGTTGCATAGTAGTAGTGACTGTCAGCAGAATGCCAACATGGCTCCATGCTTCAGCTAAAACATCAGCGATGACATCAAATTCATAGATTGGTGGCAGCATGATTTTTTCCAGTGATGGTAAGAGTCATGATTGGGCTTGAGTACAATGATGGTGAGCATCCAGGTATAGTGTGTGTATAAGGAATGCAGGGGGGTAAGTGCCAATGGTGATAGATGAGATCATACTCAGTCAGCAGAAGAAGTGACTCCAAGTATTGGGATCTGTGAGGCATTCCTTGATGCCCACAGGAAGGGACACCCAAAAGTCTTCCACCCTTTGCACTGCTACAACAGTGGGAATACTCCCAATCAGGTCAGTGAGGTGAGTGTCGGGAATGGCCAGAGGACAGACCCAATCTTTGAAGGTCACCTGTAGCATAGAAGACTGGTCATTGTGGTTTGACTGAAAGATGAGCAGGTGGTGTGTATAGAGAACACAAGGGGAAAAGAGCCCTCCCATCTGGCAGGTCACTAGCTGAAGGCTTTCCATGAACTCACAGATGTGCTGGCCAGCATCAACAACTGCATCCTGTTGCAGATTACTACTCCAACACCCTCCCATAATCTGGTGCTAATGCATTCTATCCATTAGGGGTCAGCACTGCCCTGCCAGTGTGTGCTAGACCATGTGGTGATGGCCATGCCCTAGTGTTGGATTCTATGCAACCAGAGTAGGCTAGTCTTTTCCAATGTGTCACTGTTGCTATGGCAATGGTGTGCAATGAGTTTGTTGCTACCATGTTGAATTTGAGATCATGTGACCTCAGGGCCAACTACCCTACCACCTGCCAAGCAGTGAACAACTAAAGGAAAATATGACCAAGCCAGGATTTGAACCCAGGACCACCTGGCATATACCCAGGTGCTCTAACCACTGAGCTACCTGGCCTTGGGTACTCAATGGCACTTGTAGGATTAGTGCAGATTACTACTCCAACACATCCAACCTCACAAGTAATGGAAGTCTGAGTGCACCCAGAAGCCTGGCCACAGCCATTATGGATGATTCAAAATAAAGAGAAGTTAGCTTCCCTAGATGTACTGTGCAAACACATGTGTCCTGATCTGTTTCTCCATTGACAAAAGAATCCTGTAACCAAAGGTCCTCCAAGCCTGGAAGTAATGCTAGAACAGAAAGTAACTGATAGACAGTACCAGCTGATTGGATGCAAAAGTTGTGAATATGAAGTGAAGATAGCCACAGAGAGTGAGGTGCTAGCTCTGTGCGAATGACATCCCAGCTGAATATACAGCCTTTGAGATGGAGGGAGGTGAGGCATGGGATTGAAATAGAAAAAATGGAGTCAGCAATATTTGCCTCACTGTCCAAAAAGTTTGAACACGAAATGTTGCAGATCGACAGAGAACAAAGAAATGGCACCTCACTGGCCATAATGGCAGTGCCCAAAACTTCCTCTATGTCATCCCCATATCCCTTGATGTGGAGGTTTGCACATCTCTCGAAGTAGTTGGCTAGTATTGTGGTGAGATTGGGAATTGCATAGCCAGTATTGTCTTCTGCTGTGTTGAAGTGGATGTCTAGGGGTACAGCTTGAGAACATCTAAGGATTTTGGTGACCCACATTGCACTGTTGACAAGATTTAGAGCCTTGCATGAAAGGAGTGGAGCTTGAAGAATGATCAATCATCACCTCAAGCACACCTGGCTCAAGCTCCTGAGCATGTAGGTGTCTCTGTTTTCCAATCCAAGCTCAAATATGAGAAGGAGCACATCGCCTGGTAGGCAAGCAGCTGGTGCAAAACTATTGCACCACTGGCTTGCACAGACTATTTCATTAGTGGTGAAGATGAGATGTCACTGCTTCCTCCCATGATACTGTCCATGTAAGCTTTGTGCCATGTGCAGAAACTTAGGGAACTTATGCCATGCATATAGGTTGAGGTGATATTCAATTTGGCCCTGAAGTTTTGGTATGATAGAGCACAACTCAGCGAGGAGTGCCTTAGGGTACAACTCCAGCTGTAATTGAGTTAGGATCATTGTCAAGACTAAGACAGGGCAAGGTGGAGAATTGGCATAAAGTCCAACACATTTTTGTCAACAAAGGAGTTGGTGTCTGATACTGAATCACTCTATGGTTGTATCTGCCAACTATGGTACTTGAGTAATTGTGATCTTGCTGCATTATTCCTAACAGACTGCACCTGGTTCAGGTCTTAGTTCACCCCAGTGAGGATGCTCTTGAATATTGACTACCAGGATGTACCAAGGAGATGTTGGCCATAACACATTGAGTGGCTCGAAGTGGGTTAAATCACCCTTCTTGAGGCAGAAGTCTTGAATTACAAACAACATGGTGATGATCCAAAGCAGGGATGGAAGTAAGAACCAAGAATTTCGTCCCTTGGGCTGGCATTCTTGACTATGTGTGCCAGATCTCAGGTGGTGTTGGGGTTTCAGTTTCTTGGGATTTCACTAGTCACATGAAACATTATATGTCAACCTCACATATTTTTCTGGATCTACCCTCCAATGTACCTCCTTTGGCAATGCTGATATCATCCACTGGTGCTGAATTGTGAAACATTCCATTGCATTGTGATGCCCTTGCTGTACAGACGAGTTTCAGTGGACTGCACCATGATATAGCTGAATAATTGGTCTGCTGATGAGAATGTACAGAGGACTCTTAACTGTTGTCCATGTCAAACTTTCCTTACCATCCTCACAGTAAAGATGATACCTGGGCAATTCATTAATGTGGACAGACCTCACATGGGGGATGATACTGCAGTCTAGACTGCTCCAGCTGTCATGAACAACATGAATTCTTTGTCTACTGCACAACATCTTGTTGGCTCAGAGTGGTTGGGTTAGCAGAAACCAGAACTTCAGAGATCTCTGGAGGGAGAGACAGTGGTGTGAGCAGACATTCCTTCCCAAGAAGAGCTTCAGCATGCCCAGATCCCTGGTAGTGATTGCTGCAACAGCATCATCTGGCTCCTTCACTGAGCTAGGATGGGGCAAGGGTGACTGTGATAGTGAATCAAAGCTGTCTGAAGGAGAACCCTCACATCCATGCTTACATCATGTTTTTCTAGACCAAAGTTAATGGTGAGTGAATTACAATGTGAGGTGGAGAGGGTCGCACTGCTTGGAATTGATCTCCCAAATTGAAGGTCATCAGAGGACCTGAAACAGTGCTGCCTGTCAAAATGCATCTTTTCTGAGGATTTGGGGCATTGGTGGGCCAAATCTGCTCACAGGTGTGCTAGGTCAACCCAGTTTGACACATTTTCAGATGGCAGGATAGGGATGAGTTAGAGTGATCATTGTGAAAGGTTGGTCCAGTTACAACTCTGAGAAGAAAGGAGGGACATACAACACACCTAACTAGTTGTTGCATAAGTGGGAAACCTTCCACCCTTGTACAAAAATTCCACCCTGGCAGATATTCCTGTTGAGTATCTAATTGCAGCCAGACCAGACCCTCGACAGGAGCTTCTCAACATTTAGTTCTAAATTATGTTCTGATGGATGAATGGAACTGCATTATGTCTGGAAGGTGGCTCCTGGGAGTCCTGGGTTAATAGGGTTCCAGCTTTGGTTTAGTCATCATACCTACCATGCATTAACATACTATGAAAATGAGTTTTTACATAATTAGGTCTGGAGACTCAAGTCAGAATCAGTGGATGACACTCGCAACTTCCAGTCACATGATGCTTACCCAAGATAAGTCCAGAAGTCTGGATAAGGCTTTGTGAGATCACTGACACTGCCCACTATGGATGTCCTAATTAAGAATCATCTATAGAGTATATGTTCAATGTACCAAACATCTGTATCCCCATGCCAGAAAATAGTGACACATTTAAACACCCTACAGTACATAAAAATCAGGCCTCCAATGCATGCCTTGCAACTTGTTCAACATCTCTCATAGCATCCAACATATGATTGTAGGCTACAGTGAAAGCATGCATTTCCTGTGGAATGAAAGGGTTAGCATGCAGTTCACAATAGTAGTAGACTCCCACCAGTGACATGGCATCCATGATGATCTTGCCTGTGGTAGGATCAGTCAAAGAACTCTTTGGCATCAGTCAGTGGCCATGTGGGTGTATCACCTCAGTTTGGACACACAAGAGGGATAGGAACAGCAGGTGGAATATAATTTTCTTGGTGCTTTGCAGATGTTGAGGTCTCAGCTTCCAACATCTGGTAATTCAGTATGGTCAGTTATCATATTTACTTCTGTCATAGATTTTGCTTTGAATTACTATAGGGAAAGAAGTATAATAACTCCATAGTTGTTGCAAGAGCAGTAGTGTCTGGATCTTCTTGCTTAGGCTAAACCAGTCAATAATCATGAACTTTCACTAGAAGTGGGAAGCACCAGATCAACCTACAACTGTGTATTGCATTTCGAGGGTAGCACAATCGGTGGGATGGGTAGATGGTATCGACAGGTCTTCCTCTTTCTACAGAAGATTGTTCAGTGTTCTGCATTTGCCTTGGAACCTCTTTGACTTGCCATATGGAAGAGAGGGCTGGAGGGAAGGTTTGCTGGAGATTGAAAGCCCTCCTGCTTCTCTTGAAATTTTGTGAATCACTGGGATAAAGCAACTGGAGTTGACTCACTACAGAGAAAGGAATATCAGGAATTGTGGGGTGCACAGGGTATCTGACATTCCCTGAAAATACCAAAGCATCAAAAGCTTTGAGCTGCTGAAAATAATTAGCAGTTAAAAAGGATATCACTGAGTCTTACAACAGGGGAAGAGGTTTCAGGGGGTGAATCCAAGCCCTCTGGATTGTCATAGCCCTGAAGAGGGATGACCATAGAAATACAAGGTTGGCAATCTGAGTATGATGATTGATGATCTTCTTGCTTTGAGCAAGGACACCATGATCAAAGGTAATAGGGCACAGTTTTGCAAAAGACATGAGTGGTACAAGCATGGCCCATTGTAGGTGAGGGATGCAGACATCATCCACTCACAGGCATGATGGCATTTATACAGTACTTGGCAAAGAGAGACAAAGCACAGTCTTTGTGGTCCTCTACAATGAGATGCAATAAAGAAAGCTGGACATCTGGATCCTATGCATGATTATGTAACATGTGTAGCATCATAACACTTGAAATCTACAGTTCCTATCTATTCTGATCCTTGAATGCAGCAGTGTGTTTCTTATTTTGGAGGATGACAAGCTGCAGGATTGTCAAGTCTATGGAGAGGAATATACTCAGACTTCAAGTTGGTTGAAGCTGAGGTGCAGTAAGGAAAAAATAAACTGCTAAGTGTCCGCTTTTGGATTATGTAATGCTGTGCTCGGTGAACCACAACTAAGGTAAAGGTGATAAACTCCAACATCTTATAGCTAGGTTACCACTCACACATTTCCTTATCTCCCATGATAGGTAAATGTTTGTATCTTTGTTTCATCTACCTTATGGAGTTTGGGTTGAAGTCATGCACATCCAGATCTATGACTGCATCAACTCAACTTGCTCATAACCAAATGTATACATACCATCTCCCACCAATGTTAATTGAAGAAGCTTGGAACTTTACCAACTACTGTGAGAATGTGGGCTTTTCGGTCAAAGAAAGTGGGTCCAGAAATCCTAAGTCAACCCTCCATCACTGACTCACATTGCCCAATGTTTGAAGACACTTGTTGTAACCTTTGCACTGACAGTCTTTGGTTTCCCTCTCTCGCCCCTCTGCCCATGTTTCGCACACTTCCCAGTTGGTTGCTCATGACATGTTCCTGGTGTCTACAAAGATATAATCAGATTTGGATCCTGGCCAGCTGTTCCTGTTCTGATATCAGGTCAGGTCATGTGTTGCATATCCAAGAGATGTTGAAGATATCAGTCTTTTCTTGAGTATGGGCAACTAATTAGCAGCATTTTCCCCTATCCATTTATCCCTCTGCTGACTCAGCATGACTCTCCCTTGAGCACAGGGTATTCTGATATGGATCAAATGCTCTCCACTGATCTTCCTTGTCGCATCTGTTGCTTGTTTGTCAATTAGACTCATGTACATATTGTCACACTGCAGTTCCTACCCTTGCATTTTGCTTCACTTCCTAGCATGTCATTCCTACAATGTCTGTGTTTTGGCCCAACCTACACATACATGCAATACTGCCAATGACATCACCACCACACATCCTAAGGATACCCAAGGCATTTTGACTCATTGTATGTGCAACTTTGGATTAGGGATGATCAGTGATGCATTGATGGTTGTTTACACTGCTAGTTGCCCATTACACTTGTAGATAATTATATTAGCAGCAGTAATCATACAGTCCAAGGTTGTGAAGGTACAAGGAAGCTATGCGATGGTGTTATAGTGTAGTTCTGCACTTGGAACTGGCTCAAATCTCTGCAGTGTAGTTGTCATAATATCCCACAATCTGAAATGTGGAGCAATGGATCAGAGTGCATCACGAAAGAAAGACAGAAGATAATGTACTAATCTTCTTGTTGAATGCATGATTCCACTCATTGATACAAATGATGTTGCCCTCTTCCTCATTGTGCTCTTGTGAGAAAGGTTAGCCTTCTTGTCAACACTGTCAAACAAGTTGTAGGTACACTTGTCACAAGGGCATAGTGGGGTAAAAACCAAAACCGGCTCTTGGTTAAACTCACCTTTTGTTGCTGGGCCACTTGATGATGTTCATTGAGTGTACCAAGGAAAATCAAGAAATTCTGACACCTCTTGCTCACAGACAGATGGGGCTGCTCACTCAACTTGCACATCACATAGATGGCAATCAGGTGGAATCTCTACTCAGGTTACTGACCCCAGTGGTACATGTGATGGCCATGAAAAGAGCCATCTACAGAGCTCATTGGCCCCTCTCAATCCATTCCATACCCATTTGTGGAGTATGTGGGGGGGGGAGGTAGGATAGGCAATGGTGCACACAACAGATTTGCAAAATGTAGATTGAGCATTCAGAATGGACTGAGGAATGGGCTTGTCAAAGGGGTAGAAGTAAACTCAGGTTCTGAGGTGGACCATGATTGCAGAGTTCATTGCCTGTGCAGGTAGGTCCAGTGCTGAAGTTTGGGTTTGCAATGGGAGGGGTATGTGGATAGGAAATGAGATGGGCAGGTGGGTGGAGTGATGGTATGAGGAGGGAGGGATGGAGTCCAAGTTGGAGCTGGGTGGAGAGGGTGAGTCTTCTGTGTGTAGAGAGATGCTGAGAGACAAGGGTGCTGTTCTGAACTTGATCAGGTGTTGTACTTGACAACAAGGTGGTCCTCAATGCTGGCATTTTCATGTAAGTTCCAGTGGGGGGCTGTCCCCTTGAGGTATTATGCATCACTGGGGCCATCTGCCATGCAAGATCACAGCTGGCTCAGCAGATTTTCATCTTGTTTATCTTGTATTTTTTTGGAAGAGGAAAGCTTTTTGGATCAGATCTAACTGAAGTGCACAAGCCCTAACATCAATCAGCTTGGCTTCAACCATGACAAATTGACTGGGTTTCATGAATGGTGTGGAAATGTGATGCAGTGCCCTGTGGGACAACTGGAGCCACAGTGTCCACAGTTGACTGGCTTGTTGGGTTAAAGTTAGATAGCCCACAATTGGCCTGTGACATTGACAAAATCTTATGTGACACTTTTGATGATTGAACAAAAAAGGCAATTGCTGCAGGCTCCATGTGATTGTACAGTGACATTCATGGTTTCAATGATCTCACTCATTTCTCCACAGATTCATGAAGTTCAAGGTCACAGGAGTTGTTTACTAGTGCCAGAATATGTGTGTAATTGGGGAAAAACCAAAAAATGCTAGGAAGTAGTAGATTTTGCAAAACTGCTGACTGCATTTTGCAAGATAGTGTTCTGAGTCGAAGTGAGCAGGCTAACACCCACATGTCAGACCATCATCTTTCATTCTTATTTCAACTACATATCCAGAGGCTCCAACCCCTCTCCCTGCAAGGGCTTTTCACCACAATGCAAGGAAGTATAACCATTCCTGTCCTCTTTCAATCCAAGTTCAAGGTCTTCATGAAGCTGAGCAGCTATCTCCATGAGGTCACTTTCTCAGGAGTTTGAACAGGCCCTCCAATGTGCCACTGTGATGTTGAGCTGATGCCCAAACCAATGGTAAGAGCTGGACAAAGAGTCAGTACCTTAGCCATGTTCACAAAGGTATCTGTACTTGTGCAAGACAATCAAGTGCTGTAACTCATTGAGTGGATGGTGTTGATTTATAGCTACTGATTGTCTGCTGATAGCTGCTGCAGGGCCTCATGGCTTGCAACACCACTCATTCTTTTGCTAATGAAACAGCATGCAGAGTGCCACTACCACTATTCCTTTGTGCATTGAAGACCAGTTCACTGGCTATATAATGAGATCATTTCATGGAGAACATTTCAATGCTTGAATCCCCTCTTGAGATTCTTTGCACAATGTCCCCTATCATGTGCTCCATGTCTCATAAAGGCATCAAACACTATTCCCCATACAATCTACAATCTCATGGTTCCCACCAAATGTTTGAGGCTCTACCTACCCCTTTGAGGACCCCTACCTGCCCTCACAACTCCACTGGCTCTCGGCTGGGTGAACCATTCCCTGCCACCGATCTTGACATGTGTAGGGGTGCCTCTATGTATGACATTGTGCACCAAGCAGTACTCAATGGTATTCCACTGGTCCATACTTTGTTTGCACTACTTTTCATGAAAACCAATTCCTGCAGGTCAATATCTACTATTCTATCATACTCATGTTTGCTTGCAATTGCATGGAAATGGCTGACACTGTGTACATTGAACAGCAGTGAATGTGAGTACCCCCCTGGTTATACTTGAGGAATTCCCATGTTCACTCAGGGCAACCACAGCATACTGAAAATGGCAGCTGGAGAGCCAATTTCGAACAAAGGATTGGTGCACCTCTACTTTTGTTTGTTAATGAACTTGCTCAGCATTCCATTTCAGAGAATATTCACTCTACTCCAAGTGAGTCGCACCAAAGAAGAAGGAAGGAAGTGAGTTAAGTGCCAATAAAAATTCTTAAGCACCCATTTATGGCATTCCAGTTTTCAATGTATCACCACCATTTCTGTAGATACCAACACCATTCCCACACTCACTGTTAGTGCTCAGCCACATGATCCTACCTTTGAAGTTTGGGAAGGATCTGTACACTCCACATGTTTCTGCAGCACTCCCTCCAAAAGATGCTCATTTTTACTAATTCTTCTGATGTGGTTGCCTCCACATCAATCATTTTGCTTGTCCTCTTTGCTAGGGACCATGGCTACTTATATTTACCAGGAATTTCTACTAGCTTCTGTCCTGAAGCATCCTGGTGAATCCCATCTTTGTTCACCCCCTCTCAGGCCATCCAGCTGGGACAGTGCATTCTTTTTGTCAGTATGACCTCTAGGAGGACATTCTTTGGTCACCTCAGGTCTGTCATTCATTTAGAAAGGTCTTATGTGGTCATTTCAGTCTCTCCAGTCCAAGAAGCATTTGGATCCTTCCTTCCTGCTCCCTGCAATGTCTTCATATTAATCTCATCCATCATTCTTCCAAAATTGCAACAGCTACAGTATAATCTACTGCTCTCCACTCTCCCTGATCACATCCATGATGAGTATGATGCACATCTTACCTTCTTATTGCAAGATACAGCAGAAGATGCTCCCCCTTCATCCTCTCTTCCAGAGCCTCATTCATGAAGTTTTTATTTGCTTCACTGAGAGGACATTTGGGGGCAAAAGTTGCAATCCCCCATGCTCCTGTCACCCCACAGACCACCAAAACTTGACCCCCTTCTGACACCTGACACCTCCCATCCCCTTTTGGATGTCCTATATCAGCATCAGATCAGCACTGCCTCTCTGTCATCCCACCTTGGCCTTGAAGCAATCTCTTCAAGATGTGACATG